TATATATATATATACACACACACACACACAAATATACTAGTGTTTTAATAAAACAAGTTCATTGTCTCATTGCTATGTATCAATCTTATTATAACTTATGTGAAAAAATAAGTTAAGAATTTGGTATTGTTAATTTCTTATTACATTGTCCTCCTCCTCCTCCTCCTCCTTCTTCTTCTTCTAGGTACATAGGAAAGTTATCGTCCTTTTTCACAGAGATTAAGTTTTTGCACTAATTGTTATCAAATAAGTAAGAAATAATTCTAATTAAAAGCAAACACAAATAAACAACTAGTAACTCTGATTTTTTGTTTTCTACCACCTAAGTCCTTAATTCAGATGATAACCAGTTGATCGCGACCAGCAAAACTCTAATATATGGACTTTCAATAAAGCTCTTTTTGTTTATTTCGAAGGAAATTTATTTTGGGTAAAGTGATTGTATTAGTAAATGTTATTAAAGGATTAAAGACGTGAAGCATACTGGCCTATTAGCTCAGCTGGTTAGAGCGTCGTGCTATAGGTTGGAGACCTGCATGGGCCATTCGTAATCCTTGAGTTCGAATTAATGTTTTAAACTGGCATGTACTTTTTCTTGTTCATTTGTTCACTCCCCAAGTGACTTTTTTTGGTCTTTTGCCGTAGGTGGATAATTGAGGAAATATGGTTGTGTAAGTTTCAGCTACTCCCAGAAGTTCAGTGGAGGCCTATTTTTTGGTCTCTCTCGATCTCTTAATGTCTTTCGTTTCCGTTCATTGACACAATTCTGTGCGTTTTCCACAGGTGACCTAAACATATGTGAATATATAGGGGATGATTGTACTGTGCTTTCTGCGGTTATTAATTAACGATTTTGAATATGTAACAAAACAAAAATTAAGGCACATTCTAGTTTACTAAGTCATCTTGGAACAAAATCAAAGATGAGCAATGCTCTATTAATTATACCAATATTACATTAATCTAACTTTTAGAAGCCTGACCAGTAACAATACCAATAACATACTCAAGCTCTTCTGCTACTTCTTTCATTGATGGCCTATTTTGCCTCCGATCATCTAAACAAGCTGCAGCTAAATTCCCTACAGCTTTAATTGTCTCCATTTCCACTTTACTTGCCCCTTCTTTAATAAAAGGATCAATCACCTCCTTTAATATGTCTTGATCCATTATCCTTTTCATGTACACAACCAAATTCACATCTTCCTCATCCCTGTTAAAATCGATCGCCTTTTTAGACGTTAAAAGTTCTAATAGAACAACTCCAAAACTATAAACATCGCTCCTATCTGTCAATTGAAGGTTCAAATAATATTCGGGATCAAGATATCCCAATGTGCCTTGAGCGGTCGTGTTAATATGAGTATTCTCACTTTCACTTAATTCGACTAATCTTGAAAGTCCAAAATCAGAAACCTTAGCATCGAGCTTATTGTCTAGTAAAATGTTACTTGACTTGACATCACGATGATAAATTGGCGGCACTGCTGACGAGTGAAGGTACGCGAGGCCATCTGCGGTCTGGTGACCAATCACGAGACGCCTTAACCAACTAAGTGGTGCCCACTCGCGAAGACGGAACCCGTGGAGGTGCTCGAAAAGTGTCCCATTGGGAATGTACTCGTAAATTAAAAGAGGTAATTCGAGCTCGACACAACAACCTAGTAATCGTACAAGACTACGATGGTTAACTTGACAAAGAATTCGAACCTCGTTAAGGACTTGTAACGTGCCTTTTGCATTTCCAGGTTTTGCACGTTTAACTGCAACTATTGTTCCATCATCTAAAGTGCCTTTGAAAACTTCACCAAATCCACCAGAGCCAAGAAGATTTTCCTTGTCGAAATAGTTGGTTGATTTTTTGATTTCTTTGCCTGAGAAAACTTTAGCTGATTTTCCACTTGTATTGGCACTTAATATTTCCTCTCTTTCCTTAACTAGTAACCTTATAGTTCTTCTTTTTATGAGGTAACGTCTGTGGACTAGAAATCCACCTAAGAGCATGAGAAGCACTGAGACAACAGCAACTGAGATTGAAACGAAAAATTAGAACATGTTAGGCAGAGTTAAAATAGAAAGTTTAAACTTACACACGTATATTATTGTCGTGGCAGGTAACATGTCTTATTTTCACATTACTAATCTCACTTTTAGATACAATTATTTTGTCGTGGTATACATTATTTTATAATTGGGCAATTTATTGGAGTAAAAAAGAAACAAACCTGCAATAAGTGGCGCTTTGTTCCTTTGAATTTTACAGGCAGTGCCATGTCGACACTCTGAACGAATTAAGAAACAGAGCAGTTAGCTAATGCAAGATAAACTCTTAGGAGTGTGAAGCTAATTAAGCATTAAATTAATTCATCTTCCATTGTATTTAACTGTCCACGTCCAGTATAATAAAAATAATAAATATAAGGTATGATTTGCTAAGTTACCCCTATTAAATGCTTTTTGAGTTTGAATATTATTGAAAAGATCTATTACTTTAATATTAAGGTATTACTGAAAATAACTAATAAATTTAATCTTGAATTCCTAAAAAGTGACAATTATATTTGGGATAAATATTTTGAGCTAAAGCAACCATTAAATGGAACGAAGAAAGTAGCTTATAACAGTATCTACTGCAAATCCCTAAACAATAGCCGATGGTCCAGTCAGACGAATTTTATACTATCATATTCTTCTTTGGAACAGCTAATTAAAGCAGAGAAGCAAATGAACAACAAATCATTTTCTTTCTTTTTGAAATCCAAGAATATATCGGTAAAACTATGTGGTCCAGTTGAGAAGTTTGTTTTGTTTCGAAGGTTTTAATGCAAATTTCAATTTACGTTATGTACTTCCCTAGGTAGCAAAGTTATGGTTATACTCCAGAATATAATATAGAACAAAATAGAACAACTTAAGTCTTGAATTGATCCTCAAACTTGTTTTTTTATAATGAAAGATTAACAAAATGTACACTTTTTACATTGAACCTATAATAGAAGGTATTTAACCCTTTTTATTTTATTTTAAATATATACATTGGTGTGTCTAGATAAATTAGGATTTAGGAATACACACCGAAATCAGCAATGTTGGAGTTAATCTAAAACAAATCCATGTTCTATGCCCATCGGATCCCCAAGTTTATTTTTTCCATATATTTCTCACTCTAGCCTATGGTAATAGCTCAAATCATTAGGATAAGCAAATGGAAGTCCATCTAATCTTTTTCTCTCTTCTCGTGCAAGATAATTCTTTTTTCTCTGATCTCGTTCAAGAGGACCCGTACTGAGCATTTGGTATGAACAAATTATTCAACCTTTAATTATAAGTTGGCAAGCAATTTCGCAAATGAAAAATTGAATTCAGTTCGTGCAGTTGAATCTTGGTGATTTCATTTGAATCTTGGTGATTTCATGTTAGGATCAAGCGTTTACCATCATACCAAAAGTTATAGCTGATAGCATTTGCACAACTTAATTTCTTAACTAAGTCTACCAAGCAAGCGCCATGTTCGATCATGACTGACCCGGGCTACCATAACCCTCTCGTGGGCCTTGCTATAGCGTTACTCAACAATTATCAATATAAAAGGAAGTAGAATAAGGGAAGAGATAGAAAGATATGCACATAGATTTTTCATTTTTGGCCTAAGTTTTCTTTTTTAGTAACTTTCCTGTGCAAGCGGAGGGAATATCAAGAATGAGCTACTTACTTTGACAATATCCCTGTGCATCCCAATAGCGGCCAGACTTGCAAACGCACCTCTTCTTTCCAGGATTTTTAGGATCCCCTAAACACTTGGAAAATGGCAAGACATTACAATCCACTTCATTCTTACAAGCAGGTGGATCTGGAATTTGCCACATTAATTCCAGCCCAGGCTGTGGCCATTTTTCAACTGGCAAAGAAGTATCCAACCCCACAAAACTTTGGTAAGCCATGCACCCATTAGAATTTAACCTAATCATATACTCATTTTGTGACCCTCCTGTCCTAAAAATACAACACAAACTTTGACGTCTACATGCAGCAAATTCTTGAATTTTATTCACATAAGGGTGACAAATACACGTAGATGAACAATTTATCGGTGCTTGCAAGTGCAACATGTTGTACGTACAATTTAGCAACAAGATTGTGTTACTCCCCGTGATGTTAAAAGGAAGATTTGGATCAAGTTGGATACCCTCAGAATAAAAATCGGACGATAAACATGTGTTGGGATATAGGGTTGGTGTTTTAACAACCATTTTCTGGATTTGTGGACTAATGGATGTAATAACGTACGATGAATTTCCCTTAGTATCGAACCACAGTGTCCCTGCACTGCACCGGACTTTGTACGATTGATCGCCACAATTAGGCCCCGTGCTTAACGGGTAAGGCACTGGAGTTTTGCCACAATTGCCACAAATAAGTCCAGGCGTTGTACCTTTGTAGGAGAGTACTGTATTTATTATCATAACGAAAAATGTGATGATAAGTAATGAGTTTCTCTCCATTGAAGAGCAAAATGAAGGAATTATGTGAGTGAAAAATATTGGTGATTCTATAGACTTTTTATTGGGAGTTATTTAGACATACATAGAAGCTGGCAAGATTTAACGTCGTATACTACTTAACAAGCGGGGAATAGGAGTATGTTTATGAATATCAATGTCTCGAAAACAAGACGGCCGACATACGTAAAAAGTACACTAGTTTGTTTTATAACATAGGTCTGAAAATCGTCAAGTTGAAGTAGTTTTGTGTCTAGGTTTCCTACAAACGGGACAACTATTTCTGAGGAAGATCGGAGGATCAGAATGTGATCATTAACATATGGTAGTTTCATTATATAATGGCATAATTGTACATTAGTATATTCTTCAAAACAGCATTGGAACTTTCATATGCATGTGATCTATTGTGGTGTTAGTGGGTGATCTATTATTCTCACATGAGCATCAAAGGAGTTATGATAACCCTTCTTCTTTTGTGATGTATCATATAAGTAGTGGTAGGTACAAAATCTGATATCATGTTGAGAAATGAAGGATGGGATTTGGCTAAAGAAATAGAGAGGCTTGCCAGTTGGAAAATTATACTGTGGGTAGAAAAATTAGCCCATAATATAGGTTGGACATATTTTTATGGCAGTGTCAGTTTGGGCACAACTCAAGTCAGTCAATTTGATTTGGGCTAAATATGTATCAAAAATTGATCCATAAAAAACTTGTCAAAATATTTTTCTTAAAAAATTTATTGTTTGATATGTTAGATATATAATAAAGTCTTATTTGATAATTATAAACAAAGAAATTATATATAATATGGTTAGAGTATGAGCTGGATCAAGATCCATTATTTAGCTTATTCTTGACCCTACTTATCTTAGCCCGAATAACCAATTTTAACTGCTTATTTATGCAAAACATTTACGGGGCAACCTACTTGGCCTACCCAATTTAACCCAAATCCATTTTTTCTAAAACTTTTAACTGATACCAATTTTTGAGAACTTCATACATGCTGCAGACACTAACTTAAAGTCTTTTGGTTCTCATAGACATATTAAACAAAAAATATTTGTATATAATTAAACCAATCGAAGAAGAAGAAAATCAATTGTAAGAGTAACCTCCATATATTCTTCGAATCCTAAAAGAAGGCATGATGTTTCTCTATCTTTTTTCTAGCACTTGTAATGGATGTACTCATCTGATGCTTCCGGTGCCCAGGTTCATCTGAAGTTGGGTTTTTGTATAGGGTAAAATCGGTTCACATTAAATACTCGAATGACAGAGTGACACGTGGAACCGGGGGACAGACGGAAGACGAAGCGAGTGGAAACCAAGACCGAGGACAACAACTTCGATTGGCATCGGATAGACTCCGAAGGGAACATTATCAACGAGGGAAAATAAATATTTGCCACCAGATGACATTCAATGAAGAATATTCCTCAGTATTAAATACACATCCGTTACAGTGAATTTTGGTATCCATAACCTATCGTTACATATTCATGAATGACCCCCATTATTATCATTTAAGAGGGGCTTGATCCTAGGACCTTGTTCCCTAGGTATAGCTATAAATAGTTACTTCAATAGCCATTGTAACACACGAAAATTCTGACAAACTTATGTTACACATTATTCCAAGCTAAATAATATTTTATTTTCTGTCTAACATCACTTTTATTGCTGCCTTCGGAAGCCTTGCTCCCGGAGCTAAGTTGTCTCCTATTTTATCTCGATTTCAACGCTAAGTCTTTCATTTTACTTAATTTATTTATTATTTTGGGATCAAATCGATTTGCTTGTCTATAAACCACACTATAAATTTAACTGTACCGTTTTTTGGCGCCCACCTTGGGACTTAGACAGTTGCGTAATTGAGTTGATCCTTGCATCTATTACTAATCTGTTTGATTCTTTGTTTCTTAGCAAAAATCATAAAACAATGGCAGCTAACGATGTCAACATCACACATAACGTTGAGGCACAAGAGAATCTACCTCAACACGAGGATTCGATCAGCGAAACCCGCAACGAAGAGGATGTAGCCATGCCGATTCACGATGTGCGATATCTTCGGCACGTACGGGAGGCGACTCCTGATGATGCCGAAGATGAGCACATTGCGAAAACTATGAGGATCTTGAGAGAAATGCAAAAGGCCATCATGGGCCATCTCTCAGGGCAAGACCAGGCCATGACAAAACTAAGGCAAGCATTGTCGGGTGCTTCCAACAACGCGAATGGAAGAGGCCCAGTTCCTCCCGATCTCCCACAAATCAAACAGCACAAAGGGTTGTTAACAACACTCCGAGGGGTGAGGTCTGCTTCGATAAGGCCGGGGCGACCGATAACGGCTCTGGTAACGACAACAGTAATGATCCCTTCAGAACCGAGCTCATGCGGTTTATGTGGGAAATAAACGCTCAAATGGACCAAATTCCAGGAGCACCACCAGTGCCGAAGAGCCCAGACTCGAAGAAATACACCCAGTTGCCGTTCAAACTGAGTGCAACACCATAGTTAATTTCGAAGCGGTTCAAAATGCCAGATGTACCAAAATATGATGGGACTTCAGACGCTCAGAAACACATCACCACCTATATAACAACGGTGAAGGGAAATAACTTGTCTTCACACGGGATTGAGTCAGTCCAGCTAACGAAGTTTAGAGAAACCCTCATGAAGAGGGTCCTAACATGGTACTCACTCTTACCCGAACACTCAATAGATAACTTTGAGATGCTCGCGGACTCTTTCATTAAGGCCCATGCAGGGGCCAAGAAGGTCCAGGCCCGGAATGCGGACATATTCAGGATTTTGCAAGGAGAATTTGAGTTGCTGTGTGAGTTCGTGACTAGGTTCCAGAAAGAAAGGATGCTACTACCGGTTGTGCCATATGAATGGGTGGCTGAGGCGTTTACTAAAGGGTTGAACCCTCGGAGCTCCGACGCCTTTCGAAAACTGAAAGAAAGCCTGCTCAAGTTCCAGGCAACTATATGGGTAGATGTCCATAACCGTTACGAATCAAAGATAAGAATAGAAAATGATCAGCTCGGGTTCTCGGCATCAACTGAGGGTCGGGATCGAGAAAAGAATAGGGATAAGTTAAAGGATGATTTTGACGTAGAACGACAATTTTCAAAAGGTCGATTTTTTCCTTACGAAAGGGCTGAAGGACGTTGTATAGGGTTTCAGTCGGCAGATAGGTTCACGCCCGATAGAAAAACCTACCGCGACTAGAATAGCAGGTCATTGCAAGATAAAGAGGTATCGGGTTCCCGAGATTTTGCCTATCCCAGACTGTCCGAGTACAAATTTAATGTCAGCGTAATGGAGCTAGTATCGACGATGAGGAACATCAAGGAAGCACAGTTCCTGAGGTCGATGAGATCTTATCCTAGCAGAGGGATCCTAATCTATGGTGCCAGTATCATGGGACTAACGACTACCGGACTGTGGACTGCCAAAATCTATGCGAGGATGTGGCAACGTTGTTGAAAAATGGCCATCTCAGAGAGTTCTTAAGCGACTGGGCTAAAAACAATTACAGCTACAGCCAGGACAATGCAGAGCCCTCGAAGATAGGTGAAGACTCTCTCCTGCAAAACATCAACATGATTTTCGGGGGAAACGAGATCAATGGTGTAACCTTCTCGGTAGAAAAAATGATAAAAGTATCGGTGGCTCATAGCAAGAGACTCCGGACAGTCGCCGAGGACGACATCACCTTCACAGAAGAGGACGCCGATGGAATTCTAGTGCCGCACAACGGTGCCCTGGTAATTTCTCTTAACATTCTAGATTTTAAAATTAAACGTATTTTGGTGGACCCAGAAAGTTCAACCAACATTATTCAATGGATGGTGCTGGAGCAAGCCAAGCTAACCGGAAGTATCATTCCGGCAACAAAACTCCTCGCCGGGTTCAACTTAGCAAGTGTGACCACCCGAGGGGAGATTTTGCTGCCCAATAATGCCGGATGGGTCATGAAGACTACCTTATTTGATGTATTAGACAGGGAAATGGGTTACAACATAATTCTTTGCAGAACATGGCTACATGAGATGAAGGTCGTACCATCAACATATCACCAACTGCTGAAATTCCCAACTCCAGAGGGAATCAAACAAATAAAAGAAGATCAACCGGCGGAAAGGGAGATGAATGCAGTCTCAGTTTCCAGCAGTAAAGGGAAGGAACACATGACATAGCAATTACAGGAACCGAAGCCTTCTCCGAAATAAAACGAAGCCGGCAAAGGGGAGGAGCCGTCAGAATCCCACCAGGTACCAAGGTATTTTCAGGTACCGAAAGAAACGGATACGACCAAGTCCATGATGGAAGAACTCAAACAAGTGACATTGTTCGAAAAGTTTCTAAGAGGAAGTTCCACTTGGGGATAGGACTAAACCTCGAGCTTAGGTCAGGATTTATTGAATTTCTTAAAACTAACATTGATTGTTTTGCATGGTCACATGCGGATATGATAGGTATCCCGCTAGAGGTGGCCATGCACAAGCTAAGACTGGACCCAAGCATCCTACCGGTAAGGCAAAGGAAGCGTCCAATTGCCGAGGTCAGAAACAATTTTGTTAAAGAAGAAGTAACTTGATTGCTCGATATCGGTTCAATTCGGGAGGTAAAGTACCCCGACTGGCTAGCTAACATAGTCATAATTCCAAAAAAGAATAATAAATTCTGTATGTGCGTAGATTATAAGGATTTAAATAAGGCGTGCCCAAAAAACTACCAAGCATTGATCAAATAATTGATGCGATAACCGAACACAAGTTGATGATTTTCCTCGATGCGTATTCCGGATATAACCAAATTAAGATGAACCCGGAAGATCAGGAAAAAAACTTCGTTTATAACGAACTTTGGCACATATTGCTACAATGTGATGCCCTTCAGGCTTAAGAACGTCGGAGCCACTTATTAGAGGCTTCTGAACAAAATGTTCGAAAAGCAAAAAGCGAAAACAATGGAAGTTTACATAGATTATATGATGGTTAAGTCTTTGAACACAGGTGACCATCAGAAACACCTCCAGAAAACCTTTGACATCCTAAGGAAGCATAACATGAAGCGTAACCCCGAAAAATGTGCATTTGGACTCAGATCCGAAAAACTTTTGGGTTTCCTGGTATCACATAGGGGGTTCAAAGTCAATCCCGATAAGATTAAAGCCATCAAGGTCATTCTAGACCAGCTGACAAACATAAAAAAAAGTCCAAAGACTAAACAGAAGACTGACCGCTCTAAGCAGGTTCATTTCTCGGTCCTCGGAAAAATGCCATCACTTCTTCTCACTTCTGAAGAAAAAAACAACTTCGAGCGAACTCCAGAATGTCAACGGGCTCTAAAAGACTTGAAACAGTATCTATCAAGCCCTCCGTTACTATCAAAATCGGAGGAAGGCAAACAGTTGCTAATATACTTAGCGGTCTTGGAGATAGCGGTAAGTGGTGTTCTGGTCCGGGAAGACGAAGGTACGCAATCTCCTATCTATTATATTAGCAGAATTTTGTCGGGGGTAGAAACTCGTTATCCGCAACTCAAAAAATTGGCCTTAGCTCTCGTAGTCTCCGCTCGAAAGCTTAGGCGTTATTTTCAATGCCACGCGATAGCCGTGGTGACAACTTTTCCCCTGCGGAATGTCCTTCACAAACCTGAGTTGTCAGGTTGACTTCATAAATGTGCAGTCAAAATTAGTGAATTTGATATTGAATATAAACCAAGGACTGCGATCAAATCATAAATTTTGACAGATTTCAGTCCCGAACTGTTGGCTTTGGCCATAAAGGAAGGGTTGATGGTGTCGAAAATGACATTAGGAGTTTGGACCTTGTTCACGGACAGAGCTTCCAATGTGAAAGGGTCTGGGCTTGGGGTAGTCATAATCACGCCCTCGGAAGAAGTCCTGCGGCAGGCCATAAAAATTGTTCTCTTGACTAACAATGAAGCCGAGTATGAAACTTTGATTGCAGGACTTGAACTGGCCGGGGGGACTAGACTCCGAGGTCATTGAAATCAAATGTGATTCCCAACTGGTGGTAAATCAAGTATATGGAATCTTCGACACCAAGGAGGAATGCATGCAACAATATGTGCTGAAAGTTATGGTTCAGGGAATGGTCCATCACCCACATCCCGAGAGAAGAAAATGCAGAAGCAGATGCATTGGCCAATTTGGGCTCGTCCAAGAAAAATGAAGGGATCAAATTCCGGTACGGTCGTATAGCTCATGCACTCGGTACTGGATGTTGATAGTTATTATGAAGTAAATACAACCAATATAGTCTGGGACTAGGAGAGTGAGATCATCGACTACCTTGAGCACGACATGCTGCCCGAAGACCCGAAGGTATCCCGGGCACTCCGCACCAAAGCAGCTCGCTACAGCTTCTGGGGAGGACAGTTATACAGAAGGTGTTTCCAAGGCCTGTTGACCCGATGCTTAGGAGTCACCGAGGCTAATTACGTCATGAGAGAGGTTCACAAAGGAATTTGTGGAATCATTCAGGTGCAGATTCGTTGGTGTTAAAATTAGTTGGGGTAGGATACTACTAGCCCCGGATGGAACAAGACGCTAAAGCGTTCGTTCAAAAATGCGACAAGTGTCAACTCCATGCACCATTAGTGCACCAACCGGTAGAGCTGCTGCATTCGGTATTATCCACAAAGCTATTCATGAAATAGGGGATGGATATAGTTGGGCCGCAGCCACCAGCTCCCAGGAAGGTAAGTTTTCTTTTAATTTTAATTGATTATTTCATAAAGTGGGTTGAAGCAGGTCCTTCTCAGAAAATCGGCGAGCGCGAAGTGGTCGATTTTCTATGGGATAACATAATTTGCCGGTTCGGAATACCAAAGGAGATTGCATGCGACAACGGACCATAGTTTATAGGCTCAAAGGTCACAAAATTCCTTGAAGACTTGAAACTTAAAAGAATCACATCTTCGCCATACCATCCAAACGCAAATGGGCAGGAAGAATCAAAAAATAAGGTGATTATTCAAAACCTCAAAAAGAGATTGGAAGCAGCCAAAGGCAAGTAGCCTGAAGAGTTACCGGGAGTGTTATGGGCATACCGGGCGACGACCAAGTCAAGCACGGGAGAGACACCTTTATCTCTCGTGTACAGAGTAGAAACTCTGATCCCGATAGAAGTAGGAGAACCGACCTTGAGGTACTTCCGTGCGGACGAGGAAACAAACAACGAAGCATTGCTAGTTAAATTGGAGCTGCTTGACGAACGCAGGGACTTGGCGCACATAAGGATGGTGGCCCAAAAGCAAAGAATTGAAAGATACTACAATCAAAGAGCCAATCTCTGTTATTTCAAAGCGGGAGACTTGGTTTTAAGAAAAGTGACTCAAAACACCTGGGAGCTCAACGCAGGAAAATTGGGTCCGACGTGGGAAGACCCTTATCGGGTTTCAGTTATCATCGGGAAAGAATCATATGAACTAGAAAATCAAGACGGGGTAAAATTTCCGAGAAACTGGAACGTGACTTACCTAAAAAGGTATTATTGCTGATAAGCACCGCTTATACTGAAAGTATGTGCTGCATTTGTGTTTTTTCCTTCGTCCAGTTTTTGTCCTAATTCGGTTTTTCTGGCAAGGTTTTTAATGAGGCAGCAATGGAAAGCATACTACTAAGGAAACTCCATTAGCAAAAATAAGACCTTTAAACGACAAGGCATCAAAACGACAAACCACTGCGAGATGGTTAAATAGTCTTTGGCTCGATGGCAAATTCCTAATGGGAAGAAAAACTTGCCACCAGACCAAAGCTATTCAACCATTTACAAGTGTTTTACCTATGAGTCACTGGGGTTGGTTAGATAATCTTTGGATCGATGGCAAAGTTCCTAACAGGGAACAAAGCTTGCTATCAGACCAAAGATTTTCCAACTATTCACTAGTGGCATCCTCAAAGGAGCAAGACTTCCAGTGTTCCAATTCGCATTCTTCGCATTCGAACACTGGGGGGATGATATGAGAATACGACAACCTGATTGCCACAAAAACGGGGACTACAAAATCCGGGAACAAAAATGTCTCATCGGGACTGGGGACTGCACAACCAGCCCCGTAGAAACAAGTTGTACAAATTAGCCACATGTAATGGTAATTTCTTTTCTTTTAGAAAAATGAATGCTTATATACTTTTGAAGATAGAAAGAATAAAACAAAGTCCTTTTATTTTTATCTTGTTTCTTGTCCAAACGATGAATTGATTTTATCATTTGAAAGTTAACTAAGTATTTCAAATGCTAGTGCCGGAATGAACAGGAGACGTCCTCTTCAAGAGCATTGTAAATATAAGCGGCCTCTCTCATGAAACCCTCACAGTAAAGGGTTGGTTCCGGAAGAGTTTATGCCCGGATCCCAAATGCTATCGGGGTAATATGCACTCGAAGCCTTGCATAATTCGACACAACAAAGTAAACTTTGCGCAATGCTTAAACAAAAAGCTCTTTTATTTATCAAACGTGCCAAGCAGCACAAGTACAAAAATACAAAAAGAAAACAACAAAGGAAAAGAAAGAAAAAAAGCTAAACTATATTGCCCCCACGGGGGAAGAAGAGCATCAGCGCCGCCGGGAAAAGTAGGCGGATCTGCCGTTAGCTTGGGATCATGGCCTTCATCATTATTCTCCTCAAGTTCCTCCTCAGTTCCTGAGAACTCGAAACCGAAACCAGAAGAGTCAGTTGCATAAGGCTGAGCCGGGAGGCATCTTCGAGCAGTTAACTCCATCTTTCGGGCCTTGGCGATTTCATCGTCAATATCAATGACGCCCGCTCGGTGCTAGAGTTCTAACTTAAGCCGATCAACCTCGGTCAAAAGGCCATCCTGCTCAAATCTCGGAGCGCTAAGGGTAAGATCAAGATCACGGATAGTGGTTATATGAACCTTATTATATTTCATAATACTCTTATACCTATCCTCCATCTGGGCACGTTTCTCCTCGCCAACAGTAGCCTCTTCAGCTTTGGAGTTCAAGGTTGCCTCCAAGTTATTCGCTCTCTCAATGGAGGTAGATTCACACTCGGTAGCAGCGAGCAATTTTAGACCTCAGACCATTTAGCCTTGGCTTCTTGAAACTGTACATTTAGCTGAGAGGCTTCTTGGCTGAGGGCCATCACTTCCTGCTCACTTTATTGCAACCGAGCCTCTAACTTACCCGCCTTAGCAACTTTTGCTTCCAGCATCCGGAGGTGAGCAACAATTTAGTCCCTCTCGGCCAATAACTGGTCCCCCTCGGACTGGAGTCCTTCTTTATCGAGGATCAATTTCTAAAGACCCTGGGAAGCAAGGAAGTTGGCCTGGTGATGACATCCACAACACACCTCAATAAGAGATATGATACGATCGTATGTAATAATTACCCAACTATGTGTCGGGATCGAATCCACTAGGAGTTATAAGGGGTGTCAGGAGTATATATATATGATGCCAGTGAATGGACTACCTAAATTGCACTTCCACAATAGAGTTTTGATTTCTACTTCTAGTATAACTTTAATGACTGCAAGCTAAGGTAAATAAACTAGAGATGAATATTTTTGATATTTTTCCAAGTAGTTTAAAGGCCTAGGGTTATGACCATAACCTAGGTATTTGCCTAATGGGATAAAGGCGTTAATACTTATTTTGTTGATTGGAGTGTATTATAGATTTTAACTCTATGTTACCCACTCAATACCTCTCGGTCAGAGAGTAATTTTACTTGATTTGGCTTTCTCACGTCCAAATGGGTATCAAATAAAATAGTTGATATGAGCTCAAGTCGGGTTCTAACTATCTCTAGTTTGAACCTTTTAATTAGTCAAATCAGTCTCTCAATTAACCCAATTCCTTGTTAGCCAAGTTATCCTAGACTAGGTCTCTCTTTCTCAAGTAGAGACTAAGTCAAATAGGCATGAATCAATGTTTGCAACCATTAATTCTAAAATTGAAGCATGAACTAAGCTAAATAATTAACACCCAATCATAAACAAGCATAAAATTAATCACCCATAAGGTTTACACACTAGGGTTGGGTCACAACCCTAGTAAAACTCTAGCTACTCATAATGGGATTTGAAGAAAATAAAGAAGAAAAGCTAATTAAACCCATAATGAAAGATTAAAATGATGAAATCTAATGTTTAAACACCAAAATAATATAAAACTTCCTAAAGTAGTAAAAAGAAATGGCTACAGCAGCTTTTAATGTTCAAACTTGACCTAATTTTGTGAAACTCATCTATTTATACATGGCCAAACATTACAGACAAAAATTCCCCTCAGGAGGTTCTGCGGCCGCACGATTCCATGTGCGGTCCGCAGATGCCTTTAGTTGGCAGGAAGGAGGATTCTGCGGCCGCATATTTCTGGATTGCGGCCGCACATTTCTTGTCTGGTCCGCACTTCACAAAGGCTTCCGAACATGATCTTATTGCACATTCTCTGAACTTTGGATCTTTGTCAGTGAAAGACCAAATCTATGACGGCACAATTCATGTGCGGTCCGCACATTGCTGAAGAGCTTGTTGGGTTTTGCTGCTTGGGTTGTGGCCGCAGAATTCCTTCAGTGGACCGCACATCTTTGCTTCTGATCCATTTATTGCCTTGTGTTTCGGAACTCTCTAACGAGCGCAAAACAAAACAAAAAATTATTGCTCGCTAGTCAAAAATAGTATAGATTTATTATCGTCTCCATAGGGATTGAATTTGAACAGTGTTCGAATAATCTCCAGTTTATTACTATCCAGGAAAATTAACACTTGATTTGATAACTGTTACTACGGTGAACTACTAAAAATTAAGCAAATAACAATTTAACAATTGATCACAAAAGACAGCAGATGTGCAACAAAGAAATATCAATGAGAGGGATAAGGGTATTTGACTAGATAGGTGAAAGATAACCGATTTGGGATCCAATTATTGAGTTAATTCACTCTATAATACGGTTGATTCTCATGAATTCAACCGATAATCAGATTGCACTTGAAGTTAATGTTTCTCTTTCGATTAAACATTAATTCAGTAATTAGTCCAACTGAAGCACGGCAAACAATTGCAACAATCAAATGATGGTTATGATCTAAAGGGTAACTTCTCACGAATATTTTCCTATTTTCTAGTTCGATTAACAATTCAAGAGGCTCTTTCGATTACCTAATTGAATCATGAATTTAAACTAGAGCATAAGAT